CTGTGACAAAGCGAGAGAGAGGCATGGACATATATGCACTACCAAACGTAAGGCAGATAGCTAGTGGGAAGCAGCCGCATAGCACAGGGATATCAGCTCAGTGCTGACCGCCTGGAGGGGTGGGATAGAGAGGGTGGGAGGGAGGGAGATGCAAGTGGGAAGAGATATGGGAACATATGTATATGTATAACTGATTCACTTTGTTATAAAGCAGAAACTAACACACCATTGTAAAGCAATTATACCCCAATAAAGATGTTAAATAAATAAATAAATAAGTAAATCATGAATATTTCCTGTTATTCAGGTACCCACATACCCACAATCATACAATACAAAGTTAAAATACACAACTTCTCCCCTCAAGATGTTTATAATCTAATAGCACACATATGACAAAGTAGGCAATTTTAAACCTCAAAAATAATAGCCGAGTAGTAGAAACATGGGTAGTGTGAGTACCTTATAATAACAAAATAATTCTAATTGCTTCTTCCCATCCCTTGTATCATCACTATCATTCATTTCACTTATATAAGGATATGTGTGTGAAGTATACATATATACATACACATAAGCAAACAGTCAAATACAGTGTCACTATTATTTTAAACTGTTATCTGTTAGATCAATTAAGAACAAGAAAAATAAAAGTTTTTATTTTATCTTCATTCATTTCTTCTCCAATGCTTTTCCTTAGATATCTGAGTTTCTGACCTGTATCATTTTCTTTGTCTCTAAAGCACTTCTTTTAACATTTCTTGCAAAAATGGTCTACTGGCAAAAAATGCCCTCAGTTTTTGTCTGATAATTTTTTTTTCTCCTTTACTTTTAAAGGAAAATTTTGCACAGTACATTATTCTAGGCTGGTGGCTTTTTTCTCTCAACACCTTAAATAGTCCACTCTGCTCTCTTCTTGCTTGCATGGTTTCTAGGGAGAAGCCAGATAATAATTCTTATCTTTACTCCTCTGTAAGTGAGGGATTTTTCCCCCTCTGGCTTCCTCAGGATTTTTTTATCTTCAATTTTCTGTTATTTGAAAATAACATGCCTAAGAATAAGGATCTTTTTGGCATTTATCCTACTTGGTGTTCTCTGAACTCCCTGGACCTTTGGTTTGATGTCTGATGTTGATTTTGGGAAATTCTCAGTCATTACTGTTTCAAATACTTCTTCTGTTCCTTTCTTTCTTCTCTGGTATTGCCATTATGCTTATGTTACACCTTTTGTAGTCACCCCACAGTCCCTGGATATTCTGTTCTTCTGTTCTGGTTTTTTATTGTTTTTTTTGTTTGTTTTTTTTTTGCGGTACGTGGGCCTCTCACTGTTGTGGCCTCTCCCGTTGAGGAACACAGGCTCTGGACGCACAGGCTCAGCAGCCATGGCTCACGGGCCCAGCCGCTCCGCGGCATGTGGGATTTTCCCAGACCGGGGCACGAACCCATGTCCCCTGCATCAGCAGGCGGACTCTCAACCACTGCACCACCAGGGAAGCCCTGTTCTGTTTTTTTTATTCCGGGCTTTTTCTCTTTGGTTTTCAGTTTCCAAGAATTCTACTGATACATCCTCTTGCTCAAGACTCTTTCCTCATGCATGTCCAATCTACTAATAAGGCCATCAAAAGCACTCTTCAATTCTGTTACAGTGGATTTTTTTTTCTCTAGCATTTCTTTTTGGTTCTTTCTTGGAACTTCCATCTCTCTACTTATATCGTCCATCTGTTCTTGCATGTGGTCTACTTTATCCATTAGCACTCTTAGCATATTAATCACAGTTGTTTTAAATTCCAAGTATGATAATTCCAACACCCCTGCCATATCTAATCCTGATTCTCGTGCTTGCTCTGTCTCTTCCAATTGTGTTTTCTGCCTTTTAGTATATCTTAAAAATTTTTTTTTGACAGCCAGGCATGATACACTTTTTAAAATGAACTTCTATAAACAGGTCTTTCGTAATATGGTGGTAAGCTGCAGGGGGATGGCTGAACAATTTATAGTCTTATGATAAGATCTCAGTCTTTTAGAAAGCCTGTGCTTCTGGACTGTGAACTTCACACACACACTTCTCAATCCATCTCCCTCCCCTCAGGTGGAACAGGATGGCTAGAGTGAGCTGAAGTTGTGTATTTCCCTTCACCCACATCAGTTAGCCTCTGATAAAACTCCAGCAGGTTAGGCTCTGGTGAAATAGTTTATCCTAAGGGCAAGCCTTGTTAGGAGGAACAGAATGCTCTGGCATATTTCAAAGTCATTCCTTTTCCCCTTCCTCTCTCAAAAGCATGAGGGTTTTTTTCTGATATTCACTGAGAGAATCTGGTAGAGACACAACAGGTAAGACTCACAAAAGTGTGGGGCCTCTGATGACCGGTTTCCTCTGGAGTTTTTAACTCTCAGAGTTGCCCACACTGAACCTCCAGCAATTTGTCAACCAATTCAGGTTTCCCTACACCAGCACTGGCTTCCAACAAGGTTGCTGCTCTGGTGAACTGTGATTCACTGTAGTCTCAGCTGGTCTCTCCAATTTTAAGGGCAGTGGTTTGCTTTGTGACCTCTCTCTACTAAAAAAGTCGTTGATTTTTCAGTGTGTTCAGGTTTTTACTTGTTGTCAGGATGGAGTGGCAACTTCCAAGCTTCTTACATGCCATACCAGAAAGCGGAAGTTTGCATTTTCTTTTAAGAAATGTTTTTCTACACCACAAGCTTAAAAACTTATGTAGAATAATAAAACACATACAAACTCAATATCATATAGAACAAAACTGTGTTACATACTTTGTAAATTATTTATTTATTATTTTTCACTTTCCTCTTACAATGCACATATTTATATTTCTAGACATGTAGCCTAGATCAGACACTGTTCTTAAATATCTGAACCTCCCAGTTTATCTATAAAAATCAATATAAAATTATAAACTATAATCCTTGAAATATATCTTCTAAACAAGTGATTAAAATACAGCTTACCATTTTGATGCCTGTGGAAAATGTCACTGGTTTTGTAGGTTTAGGTTTCTCAAGTTGCATTTCCAGTTGGGTAGATCTATCTTTATGCTGAGCCAAAAGTAGAGCAACGGGGAGATCAGAACTCTCCTGCAAGAAAAGTTAAAGTGCAATGTGAAAGTTAAAAATAAAAGCAATGAGTCTTTTATTTTAAATTATGCCTTTCCATAAACATTTGATGTCAACCTAGGTATTCACTTTATGGAGAACACTTTACAAAAAACTTTAACAATCCATAATAAGAAAAGGCTGCTTTAGACTCATAAATCAAAATAACCTACAAAAAAGGATTTTTATAAAATCCACATTAAAGACAATATAATAGGATCTTATTTCATCTAGCAAAACCAACCATATTTATTAAAATAAAAAAATTAGAAGCTAATCACAAAAATAGTACAAAGTACTATAACTTAGATCAGATGTTTATCTAAGACACATTTCTTTTTTTACCAGTGAATTCAGACCAGTCTGAAATTGTTTCCCATTAGATTTCACCTGAGGCCGTTTGGAAATGATCCTTGCTCTGTTTTGCACAATGGAATGATTGTTAAGTACAATCAAAAGACATTTATCAATATTTTCTCCTTTATTGACTTATTTTTATAAATAATTTATCTTTATAAATTTTTTTAATTAACAAAATAACAGTAAACACTTTTAATATCTTATATTGACACTAAATCAGGGCCACTATTTACACAAATCTGTACACACACATATTAATAACACAAATTACTAACTCTTATATGTAGACTGTCATTTATTCTGTTTAACATGAAGTCTTCTCACATGTTTAAAGTGATGCAGAGCTAAGATCTAAACTAAATGTATCCAGACATTTTCCTTTCTGAGCTGTCAGTTAAATAAGAACACAGAAACACAAGCAAAATGAAACCAGGAAGGAAGGAGATCATATACAAACATATGCAAAGACACATACTACTTTCTATATCTGTAAACAAAAATGAAGGTACAAACACATTTCAGTCTCCTATACCAAGGTGACCTACGAAAACAGTCTTCAAGTGGCCCACAGAGTTTTAACACAGTAACTACCCAGAAATTAATCCTGAAAAAACTATATTGTTACACATTTCATAGTATAAAAGTAAAGACATAGCAGAATCTAATTTTCTTTCCAAAACCAACAACTTAATATTTTGGGGCACAAATATGGCTAATTAATATATTTAAAGGACTTGTTTAAAAGTTATAGTACAGAAGATATTCAAGTAACAAGCCATTTATTTCCATAGCATCGTCCTAGAATAAATCTGTATCTCAAAACTTTGTAACAGAAGCGCTATGCAAGAGCAAATGTTACAAAGATTAAAACTTTTTAAAGTAAATAGAAAAACACAAATTTTATTTATAAAATAGAACTTTATTAAGGATCAAAATTCTTAAGACATGGCTTTAGCAATAATGAAGAAGGATGAATAAAATACACTATGACAACATACTTGACTACCTTTCATATTCTACAACAAAGCATTAGTAATGCACTAATAATAGTATTGCTGTGAATTCCTGCAGCTATTCCTATTTCCATTAGGAATTTTATAATAAAATGTAAAATTAAAGAATATTTTAAATGGGCGGTGGCCCAAAATATCTTTTAAAATCTCTAACTACCTTTTCTTATGTAAAAACTATTTCCTTGGCTAAAATGCTAAATCATTGCTTCCTAATTAATACTCTAAGTGAATTCAAATTTCATACCTGGTACTTACCCTAAAAAGTAAAAGTTCTCATGTAAAAGTAAGACAATGTGTGCATTTCAAAAAAGTTGCTAATCAATACTTTGCCTGTTTTAATCCTGGTTTCACCTTCACATAAAAGAACCAGAATATTAAAATGTCTTGATAAAACAGTTGAAATTTAATAAAAATAAACATTCTAGAAAGCTAAAATTAATTTTGATACTAAGGCAATACAATTTACTTTAAATCTGCTGTACTCCACTTTAGCAATCGAAACTTTGGAGACTGAAAATCTTTGTAAATGTTAAACTAGAGGGACTTCCCCAGTGACGCAGTGGTTAAGAGTCCGCCTGCCAGTGCAGCGGACGCAGGTACAGGCCCTGGTCTGGGAGGATCCCCCATGCCACGGAGCAGCTGGGCCCATGCACCACAACTGCTAAGCCTGTGCTCTGGAGCCCGCCCGACGCAGCTGCTGGGCCCGTGTGCCACAACTACTGAAGCTGTGGTCCGCAACAAGAGAGGCCACCACAGTGAGAAGCCCGCGCACCACAGCAAGGAGTGGCCCTCGCTCTCTGTAACTAGAGAGAAAGCCCGTGCACAGCAACAAAGACCCAACGCAGCCAAAAATAAATTAAAAAAAAAAAAGTTAAACTAGAAATAAGCAGGAGTTCTAACAACAACAAAAAAATCTACAGAGTAAAATAAACTATGGGAAACATACATGCTCTCAGAAACACAAAAAATGTAGATTCAGCCTTTCAAGTTATTTCATTCTTCTTAGCTTTCCATTTTTACCCTGAAAGGTTCCCTAAGCTACATTGATTGCCTGAAGGTACACTGCTTAATATTTAAAGAAATTTTAATTAAAACTACCTGTAATACTCATTAAAAGCTTTATAATGACCATTTTTAAATGATTATTTTAACTGACTTAAAGCAAGCCATCTGGCAAACAATATTCTAATAAAAATCAGCTACTGCTTTTGACAATATTAGCCCTTAACAAAATTTAAGACATAGCTGAAGAGAATTTTCAAACAAGAATATAAAAAGATTTAATAAGTCAGGACCTGTTTATCTTTTAAGTTTGGAAAATCTTTTTCCAAACTTAAAAAAAAAACAAAAAACCCTGAATTTACAGTTAAGATTAAATAAATGGACATTTTAGGCAACATTATAGTAAATGCTAAGCCATAAACATTAAGACCATAACATTAAAATCCTGTCACATCATACAGTATAGTGTAATGCCAATGCTTTTATAAAAGGTTAAAAAGTAACTTGTAGCACAAGGACCAGAAACAGCAGAAAAAAAATTCTAATAAGTTTTGCTTATACTAGTTGCCTAAATTAGATCCAGAGAATCATTCTAAGATTTAAGCTTCTAGATATATTTATAGATGCCAATTCAATCTTTCTTAAAAATCTAACACACGAACATACATAGAAAAAAATACAATGTATTCTTTTACTTAATAAGGATTCAGGAGGATAAAAAGAAATTTAATGAATTCTTTCAGTTAGTCAATAAGGATGAAATATATGTTAGCATTTTAACAAAAAATTTTTAATAAATATTAAAAAATTAAAGTAACAATCTTTAAATATAAATTTAAATATGAAAATGAGAAATTCAAATTGAATTGGTATTTAAACCAATCTGTTGTAATTAATTGTTCTAATGAATACAGTAAATTGTTAAGGATTATTTAACCACCATGTTACATGATCTAAACAGTAAAGAAAGTATGCACAGTAATGACTTGCAGGTGAAGAAAACAGGAAGGGGGAACAGTTCTTAACAAAAGCCAATATTAACTCCAGATTATACACAACGTACAACATTGGCAGTTGCAGCTCAATTGCCAAGAACAGCTCAATGAGGCAGCAAAACTTCATGCTAAAAGACTAAAGACAAAAAGAATATGCAAAAATAATTGCTATGCAAAACCAGCTTATCTCAAAATCAAAACTAAAAACGCTTTATACTAAATGGAACATTTTTAAAAAGTTAAAGTGTATTTTCGTCTTATATCTAAGTTCTGTATTTGGAATTAACTCAATTAACTGTATAGCGGAAAGCATTACCAAAGAAAACTCTGCATAAAATGATGAGAGAAACAACCTTTCAAAAAAATAATTGTAACATGAATCTTTACTAATTCATTCTTTAAAGTTTTTAATTTCTCACAAGCTACATGTCTATGAAAAAAATGTAAAACATGACATGCATCATTTCAACTGTTAAAGCCACAACTGCCACTTAATAGTTTCAAAAACAATTAATGGAAGTTAGGGATTTCCCTGGTGGCACAGGGGATAAGACTCCATGATCCCAATGCAGGGGGCCCAGGTTCAATCTCTGGTCATGGAACTAGATCCCATGTGCATGCCACAACTAAGAGTTCTCATGCCACAACTAAGGAGCCCTGGGGACACAAGTAAGGAGCCCACCTGCCGCAACTAAGACCCGATGCAACCAAATACAAAAATAAATATTAAAAAGAAAAATCAATGGAAGTTACTAAGGAAAAAAAACATATTCTATTTTATACACTGCTGTCCTCATTTCTTTCTCCTTTCTTGGTGCAACGGCACACGGTGCAGCCTGCAGTATCTCACTTCCCAACCAGGGACTGAACCCAGGCCACGGCACTGAAAGTGCCAAATCCTAACCACTAGACCACCAGGGAACTCCCTGTCCTCATTTTTAGAACCAAATTTACATTCCATTCATACAAAGTAGATAGGGTTTATGATAAGCATTTTCTGTCTGAGCCTCGCTAAGGCCTTTACCCTTATTTTTCCTTTACTTTCTCACCTACTTCTAATTTAAATTATCTTGCTTTCTCTTTTTATTCCTGGTTATATGGCTTAAATGCTTTTAGGGCAAAAGCACAGTAGAAAACTATACACATACACTTTTACCTGATCATAGAATAACAAACAGCATAGCAACTAGTAGACTGAGGAGTTAAGTGTGTTAACACCACATGGAAATTAATTATGGGTCCAGAAAGGGGAAAGGAAGAATGTAAAAAGACTTTACTGGAAAGGACAATTTTCTAATTGTGATTTCATCAATATCACAATGGTTTATAAGCATCAAATAATATTCTCCAATCTATGAAACACTTCATAAACCTTGGTTATAATTACTGCTATTATCTAACAATGTTGTCTACTTAGGGAGCTAATAACTAGAAAACACCAATAACTTGCAAGACATTGCCATTTCTTTCAAATGTATTTTTTTCATGCAAAAATATGAAACATAGTTCTCACGGAGTAACCAGAGTCAGTAAAACTTCAGCATGAAGCCAAAACACTTGAAAATGAGCTAGTTATTAGAAAACCAGTATTAATCAGGAGAAAAATGCTCTGAAAACAATATGTTTTAGTCAGTAAGCTCAGAAACACATCAACAACCTATTAATAGTAAACTGGCTTATGTTAGTTATAATATTACTCTCTTACCTGAAAATAAAATGGATATTGACAAACTTTTTTTTAAATAAAGGAACAGAAGGTGAATAAACCAGCACAAACTATAGAAATGCTATTTAAATACCATTACCCAGAATAATAAATAGGAAAGATAAACCCTGAAGACAAATGATTTTTTATCACAATTAACATTAATACGTACCAGTTCATCTAAAAAAGCCTGCTTATTCTTCCTTTTTAGAATCTGCTGCAGTTGTTCTTCTTTTTGTATAAATAGTCTTCTTTGTTCATTTTCCTGTCGTTCTACCTCTAAAGCTTCTTCCAATTCCTCCTGTTCCCGAGTCTAAAACAGAAACATTGATATATGGCATGGAATAAATTTAGTAACCAAAATCAACACTATACCATACTCTGTACCTCCTTTCTTGGAAGCATAAAATGCACTAGTCACTAATTGTTTAATAGTGCAGCAATTCCACTTTAAAAGAACTAGAATTCATTTTATTTCATGTGGACATGTTACTATTAAAGAGAATGACATCTAGCACTAAATGAACACCTAAACAAAGTACACTGAGCCCAGCTGCAGAATTGTAGAAACTGCTTAATAATGTCTTTATTTTAGGAGATTTAACAAGAAAAACACAATAAAACAAAAAACCCAACAACAAATAGATAATCTCCATATAGAACTATTGATTGAAACACTCCATATAAAAGACTGGCTTATTTAATAGAAACAATTTTCAGAATATATAAGATAATGAAAAGTTATCATAGGAGTTAGCTTCTTTTTCCCAAGTTAAAATAAGTCTTTCTGATGCTTGAGTTCCAAATAGCATTCATTTAAGGTAAGTTATGAAAAGCTGAAGTCATTTTCTAACACCAGCATATAAATTTCAAGGGTCCTCTTTGTAGACTGAAAAATTCAAAATCCAGAGCTAATATGTAGAGAGAATGAGCTACAGGCCTACTCATTTCCCTTTTATGAAGTTCCTCAGAAATATTAAATACTTCGAGGTTCTGAAATTTATTCCAACTCTAACTTGTACTTAAAAGCAATATTATACCTAGCCTTTGCTCTTTAAGTCTTCTGAATGAGAAATATAGTAAAATCTGAATGGCTTTAGTTTAAATCCTTGACTGTTGCTATTGAAAATGTAATACCTTTCTTTTTTTAATTCAACAAAACATTGAGAATTTATGGCACCTCAAGACAAATACAGAATAGAGGGAGAGAGTATAATACATTTGGGGATCACTAACATAATATATGAATTAACAGAGACCTCAGAGAAAAGTACATTTTTATGTAAAATAATAATTAAAACACTCTATTAGATTTTTTTCACTTCACAAATTAAACTCCCCAAAGAAACAAGATTCCCAATTAAAAAGTGTTTCACTTATAATTCAAACTCAGTAAATGCAAAATTAAGTTTAGCATTTGGTTTCCCAAAGCTGATCACCCTCCTGTATTCCTGATTTCTGCTAAGCGCACACCTACATCTCAGGCAACTCAAGTTGAAACCTCAAAGTCATCTCTGTTTACCCCCTCTCCCACAACCCCATTCCTCTTAAATTAAATCAGTTGCTAAGTCCTATTAGCATCTCTCCCTGTAATTTTACAAACCTCTATTACTGAGGTTACTATTCTAACTCAGGCACCCAGTGGAGAAGAGAATTCAAACTTGATTTAGAAGGATTACTAGGAATAAATGTAAAAAGTTAGGGGGTGAGATATGAGGGCTAGAAAAGTGAATTACTGGACTATAGGTCCATAAGCAGAAAAGGATGAGTCTCATGATAAAACAGTGACATATAAGTAATAAGTACAACAAGTGACAGAGAGGTATACACAGAGTACAGTTGGGACAGAATTGATAGAGTGGTAAATTCTCCTTGCAATGATGGAGGACAGGTAGAGTTAGAAAAGATTTCGTATACAGTGTTATGGGTTGAATGTGTGCCCCCAAAATATATATTGAAGTTTTAACCCCTGGTACCTATAAATGTGACCTTATTTGGAAATAGGGTCTTTGCAGATGTAATCAAGTTAAGATAGGTCATACTGGAAATTTTGTCACAGACACATGGGGAGAAGGCCTTGTGAAGACAGAGACAGAAATCAGAGTGGTGCCAAAGGTGCCAGAAAAGGCAAAGAAAGATGCTTCCCTAGAGCTTTCAGAGAGACCATGACCCTGATGACACCTTGATTTCAGACTTCTAGCCTACAGAAGCCTGTTCTTGAAGAGAACAAATTCCTGTTGTTATAAATCACCCAGTTTTTGATAATTTAACAGTCCTAGGTAACTAATATATGGAGGTTGAGCAGACTTCAAACAGTAGGTATTTACCCCCACTGGAGAGTGGAAGAGCCATTTAGGCAGAGAAAACAAAGATGCAAAGACATGAATAAAGCTGGAATGCTTGGTATGGCCAAGTCATGAAGTATGGGAGTTGGGGAAAGCTCTAGATAAAGCTGGAGAGGCAAGCAGACGGCAGATCATGGAAAGTCGACCATACCATACTAAGGGATGCATTTATGCCATACTAAGGCAACTGGGAAGACATTAGAGTTTGGAAAGATGACTAGAAGCAGTGAAGAATACATATCAATGGGGTTCAAGACTGAAGACAGGAAGGCTAGTTAGAAGAATATTTCAATAACTCAAGTAAGAAATAATGAGGACCCTAAGTAAGGTAACAATAATATAATTAGAGGAGGAACCAGGTTTGAAAGGTCATAAGGAAAGACTATCAACAATATATGAAGACTGACCAGATATGGCTAGAACACTTAGATAAAGAATGTAATAGGAGAAATAGGTGGGAGAGTGAAGATTAAAAGGTTCAATTATGGGGGCTTCCCTGTGGCGCAGTGGTTGAGAGTCCGCCTGCCGATGCAGGGGACACAGGTTCGTGCCCCGGTCCAGGAAGATCCCACATGCCGCGGAGCAGCTGGGCCCGTGAGCCATGGCCGCTGAGCCTGTGCGTCCGGAGCCTATGCTCCGCAAAGGGAGAGGCCACAACAGTGAGAGGCCTGCGTACCACAAAAAAAAAAAAGGAAAAGAAAAAAAATACATTCAATTATGATGAACGTAGATGCAAAAATCCTCAACAAAATATTAGCAAACCAAATTCAACAATACATTAAAAGGATTATATAACATAATCATGTGGAATTTATCCCAGGGGTGCAAGGATGGTTAAACATCCACAAATCAATCAATGTGATACACCACATTTACAAATTGAAAAATAAAAAGCATATGGTCATCTCAATAGATGCAAAAAGGTCTTCTGATAAAATTCAACATTGATTTATGATAAAAACTCTAAACAAGTGGGCACAGAGAACATAATTCAACATAATGAAGGCCAAATATGACAAGCCCACGACTAATATCATACTCAACAGTGAAAAGCTGAAAGCATTTCCTCTGAGATCAGGAACAAGACAAGGATGCCCACTCTTGCCACTTTTATTTATAACATAGTACCACAAGTCCTAGCCACAGCAATCAGACAAAAAAAGAAATAAAAGGAATTCAGATTGGAAAGGAAGAAGAAAAACTGTCACTGTTTACAGATGGCATGATACTGTATATAGAAAATCCTAAAGATGCCAACAAAATACCTATTAGAACTCATCAATGAATTCAGTAAACTTGCAGGATACAAAATTAGTATATAGAAATCTGTTGCATTTCTATACACTAACAACAAACTATCAGAAAGATAAATTAATCTCATTTACATCTGTATCAAAACGAATAAAATACCTAGGAATTCATCTAACTAACGAGGTAAAAGACCTGTACAGAGAACACTATAATACACTGACAAAAGAAACTGAAGACAAGACAAATGGAAAGATATACCGTGCTCATGGGTTGGAAGAATTAATATTGTTAAAATGGCCATACTACCCCAAGGCAATCTACAGATTCAATGCAATCCCTATCAAAATACCAATGGCATTTTTCACAGAACTAGAACAAATAATTCTTTTTGTGTATGGCAACACAAAAGACCCCAAGTAGCCAAAACAATCATGAGAAAGAAGAACAAAGCTGGAGGTATCACACTCCCTGATTTCAAACTATAATACCAAGCCACAGTCTTCAAAAAAATATGGTACTGGTACAAAAACAAAGATCAATGGAACAGAATAGAGAGCCCAGAAATAAACCCACACTTATATGGGAAATTAATCTATGACAAAGGAGGCAAGAATATATAATGAGGAAAAGACAGCCTCTTCGATAAATGGTTTTGCAAAAACTGGACAGCTACATGCAAAAGAATTAAACTGGACTACTTTCTCATACCATATACAAAAATAAACTCCAAAGGGACTGAAGACTTAAATGTAAGTCCTGACACCATAAAACTCTTAGAAGAAAACACTGGTAGTATGGTCTTTAACGTCAGTCTTAGCAAACTATAAATCTGATAAGAGGTTAATATCCAAAATATACAAAGAATTCATAGAGCTCAACATCAAAAAACAACCAACCTGGGACTTCCCCAGTGGTGCAGTGGTTAAGAATCCGCCTGCCAATGCAGGGGACACAAGTTCAATCCCTGGTCCAGGAAGATCCCACATGCCGCAGAGCAACTAAGCCCGTACACCATAACTACTGAGCTGTGCTCTAGAGCCTGCGAGCCACCACTACTGAGCCCACGTGCTGCAACTACTGAAGCCCACGTGCCTAGATCCCGTGCTCCACAACAAGAGAAGCCACTGCTATAAGAAGCTCGCGCACCGTAATGAAGTAGCCCCCCCTCACCGCAACTAGAGAAAGCCCGCGCAGCAACAAAGACACAACGCAGCCCAAGAAAACAATAATAAATAATCTTTTAAAAACAAACAAACAACCTGATTAAAAAATGGGCAAAGAACCTGAATAGACTTTTTTCCAGAGGAGACATACAGATGGCCAAAAGGCACAGGAAAAGATGCTCAACATCACTAATCATCAGGGAAATGCAAATCAAAACCACAATGAGATATCACCTCACACCTGTCAGAATGGCTACAATCAAAAAGAAAACAAATAACAAATGCTGTCAAGGATGTGGAGAAAAGGGGACCCTAGCGCACTCTTGGTGGGAATGTAAATTGGTGCAGACACTATGGAAAACAATAAGCTTCCTCAAAAAATTAGAAACAGAACTACCATACAATCCAGCAAATCTGGGTACTTATCCAAAGAAAATAAAAACACTAATTTGAAAAGATATATGCATCCCAATGTTCATTTATGCATTATTTACAATAGCCAAGATAATGGAAGCACCTTAAGTACCCATCAATAATAGAAGCATGGATAAAAAAAGATGTGAGATATAGATATATAGAGAGAGATATATATACATATATACAATCAAATATTACTCAGCCATAAAAAAAGAATGAAATCTTGCCATTTGGATTAACCTAGATGGTATTATGTTAAGTTAAATTAGTCAGACAGAGAAAGACAAATACTGTATGATTTCACTTACTTTGGAATCTAAAAAACAAAACCAGTGAACAAAAACAGCAAAACAGAGTCACAGATACAGAGAACAAACAGGTGGTTGCCAGAGGGGAGGGGGGATGAGGAATGAGAGAAATAGGTGAGGAAGATCAAGAGGTACAAAATTCCAGTTACAAAATAAATAAGTCACAGGTATGAAATATACAGTGTGGGAGAATACAGTCAACAGGAATGCAGTACCTTTGTATCATGATGGTAACCATACAATCAAAATGGTAACTTGACTTATCATGGTGATCATTTTGAAATGTATAGAAATATCCAATCACTATGTTGTGCACCAGGAACTAAAACAATGTTGTAGGTCAATTATACTACAAAAACGAACGAACAAATCACTGAAAAAGAGATCAGATTTGTGATTACCAGAAGCAGGGGCTAGGCGGAGGAGGAATTGGATAAAGGTAGTCAAAAGGTACCAACTTCCAGTTATAAGATTAGCTAGGGATGCAATGTACAACATGATAAATATAATAGACACTGCTGCATATATGAAAGTTCTTAAGAGAGTAAATCCTAAGAGTTCTCACCATAAGGAAAAAATTTTTTTCTTTTATTTTGTATCTATATGATGATGGATGTTTACTAAACTTATTGTGATAATCATTTCATGAGATATATAAGTAAAATCATTATGCTGTATACCTTAAACTTACATAGTGCCATATGTCAATTATGTACAGCTCAATAAAACTGGAAGGAAAAAAAAATTCAGTTCTGGAATGCTGAATCACAAATGCCTTTAATGCATCCAGAAAAAATGTCGATTAACCAATTACAGATATATGGACGTATCACATATAATTCTTGGAGCTCAGGAGGAAAACAATGGGCTGCAGAAACACTTGAGAGTAATCAATGTAAAGGATTAACTCTTAAAGAGAAGCACCGAGAGGAATCCAAGTGTTTAAGAAACAGAAAGGAAAGAGAAGCCTCTTAGAAGGATGAAAGAGGAAGGTGAGAGCAGCAGGATGAAGAGAATGGAGTGGCCCCACAGAAGTCAAGGAAGAGTTTCACCATCAAGGGAGAAGGCTGCATCAAATACTGCCCTGCCTACAGACCAAACGACATTCAGACCAACAAAGAGTCTATTGGCTTTGTCAATGAGAAACTGGTAGCCTCAATTTTCTCACTGTATTTAAGTATTTTGAAAATAGAAAGCCTCAATAAATATCGGTTGGCTAGCTAGCTGATTGAATAACTGGGAAGATAGCTGTCATTAAAAATCAAACATTGGGGGCACAAAGAAGGTATTGGACTGGGAGAAGGGAAGCAGGCTGAAAGACTAGAAGGTCTCTGTTTTCTCCCCATTAATGGCACCACCTTACCCAATCAACCTTTACCTCCCACTTCTAATCCATCATTAGGACTTGCTATTTCAAACTCAAAACATTTCTCGAATTCATCCCTACCTCTCCATTCCTTGTTTAAGTCACCTCTGAACTCGCCTACAAGACTGCAATAACCTCCCATTGGCCTCCTAAACTCCAGGTTTGATCCTCTCAAATTCAACCTCCACAAAAGCAATAAATCTATTCTAATAAGGACAATACTTTATTATCACTTTGCTTAATACCCTTCAATGACAATCATTAACAGCTAGGTTTCTATAACATTACTCTAAGGAATCCTGGGAATTCCCTAATAAGATGTCTAAGGTACACTACAGAAGAGACTGAGCAGATGGGAATTCAAGCCTATTCGTCCTCCCGCTGTTGATTCAACAAACGTATTCAGAGTAAGGTTTCATTTGAAGAAAAGGTTCACCTGCTAAAACATACAAACAACTGGTCAATATAAGCCCAAATTACTTCTCACAATACATAAGGCCTTATGTTACCTAGGCTCTTTCTACTTCAGTTTCAACTCTCTATTGAACTTGGCAATATAGAACTACTTACAATTCTCAGCGCTCTCTGTGATTATCCATGCCGTCTTGCCTTTGCTCATGATTTCTTTCTGCCTGGAATGTCTTTGTGCAGCTTCCCAACCCACCCCCTTCCTGTCTTCTACAACTTGGTAACTTCTACTTGTTCTTCAAAGCTCCATTCAGGCATTATCTCACCTGGAATGCCTTTCCCAATCTTCCTAGAACAGATTAGGTATCCCTCTTCTGTATTCCCGTAATAGCAAGCACACAGAACTCTCCATGTGCCTATGTCATTGTACTGAAATTACCTGGTCCCTACAGAACCACGGTTCTTATTCATCTTTGTATACTATGTGTTTAGCAGACGTTCAACAAATGCTTATTGAACTAAAGTTTTTTTTGCTAAGTTGATAGACATTCTATGCAGCAATCTCTGCTGCTCATGAGAATCCAGAAAACGGAAGATAAAAATTAAGCTAATCTTCACTAAGAGTCTATTTCAAGATTAGTTCACCTTTATTCAGTTTCTCCATGCTCACAATTGATGCTAGGTGCCAACTCCATGAGACAAATAAGATCTCGTTAGCAGACAACTCAGTAATAGTTTCTCTATGTCAGAAATGGGTCATTTCATGTGCCTAATCATGCAAGAGATTGCTTTTTTTTTTTCCTTTTTGACACAATTCTGATCGTTTTGGAACAGTAAGACTTCAGCTTTCACAAAGACATTAAAGGCAAGTTGCTACCTCAGGTTTGCAAAAAGACATCAGTCATATAGTCCACACTCCTTGGGCCACTTGAGAACTGTCTCTACCCAATGATACCATAGTTACTGATATATGTTAATTTGCACCATCTTAAAAAATGGTCCTATGTCTGTATTTATGCCAAAAACAAATAGTGATAGTATCACTAATAGATAAAATGCTCAGCACAGAATGACCAATTAATAAATGATAATGAATTACTGACCAAAATCCTTTGTTATAATAGATCCAGGTGCTAAACGTTAATATGAAGAATAAATGCAGTCACTGTAACATGCATTACATAAAATACAAGTTGATGCTTGTACAACACAGGGGGTTAGGGGCGCTGACCCTTTGCACAATTGAAAATCTGTGTATAATTTATAGTCTGCCCTCCTTATCAGTGGTTCCCTCTGTATCTGCAGTTCTGCATCCAAGGATTCAACCAACTTCTCATCGTGTGGTACTGTAGCATTTACTATTGAAAATAATCCAGGTGTTAAGTGGACCCGCGCAGTTCAAACTTGTGTTGTTCAAGGGTCAACTGTATTCAATAACCTATCATTATAAAGTTTTCAAATAATTAGAAATTCCTACTTTAAAATAATATAACCAGCCTAAAATTAGATTATTCTTTCAACGCTCAATATTATTTGCTACTTTAAAATGATAAATGAAAAAAGCACTCACTTGAAAAGAACCTTATTAATTTAAACAGAGCTAATGCAACAAGTTACCTGGGCATACCTATTTTGCATGTATCTTCTGATGTACCCAGAGAAGGCTACTGGGCAAAGAGAGTAATTTTTATGGCACACTGATGCTTTCAGAAATGAGACACCTTTCTAAGGAAGCCAGGCTGGATATGAATGTAATAGAATGTCAATTCCTTGAGAGTTTTATTGCAGGAAAGAAGTGCCTAAATGAAACACTTAAAGACTATAAAAAGGAAGTCCTTCTAAGTACAAGATGAAAATACAAGCTATGTAATCCAAATATATCTATATCATTTTTACCAATGATTACAAATTCCTGATACAGTACCTCAAAAACAATTACCTCTGCTTTCCCCCAAAACTAGAAAGCCAAGTTGTACTGAAGAAATGATAGCTAAATTGTGTAAGTTAATTAAATCTTTGCATGTCTATAATTATTTTTCCTTTACAGGATATATTTTAACAATGCCATCAAAACTGTCTTTGCTATAGTAATGTGTGCCTCGTACCTATATGCCTATATACATATATTAGTATTTCTGGCATTAATTTCAGCTAAAGTCTTTGTAAATATAACTAGTTTTAGAGAAAGATAGCTTTTTAAAGGATCATGTGGAAGCATTCATCTCTAATACAAAAGAAGAAGAAAATACTTAGCAACCAACCAGCTTTAACTTATTTTTCTGAATGACATCTTTGTTTTCCTTTTGGTATATCTCCATTTTCTTTTTGGTGTTGTCCAAATCCACATTGTTGGTCAAGTTGAAAACTGCATCAGAAAAGAAACACTGACATGAAATACAGTTTTAACATAAATCTTGAGAAGATAATAAAAACCAAATATTCATCACAGTGATTTCTTAATTCATCAGGTTGACAGTCTTTATAGCTTAAGAAACTAGCTCTAGTTCAGCAACTATGTTTTCTGAACCAAATATAAGGAGAGACTGTCAGACTATCACACAGACTATCTAAAGATCTGAATCACCTCAAAAAACCTAAGATACGTGCTTGCCATAATCACACTGGATTTGATTTTTATAGTGCCCATTTTAACTGTAAAAGTATAAAAAAGATTGCTTAAGTTTTTAAATAAAAAGAGTTAAGTCTGGGACCTACTATACTAGTCAGAATCAATACTGAAAAGAATCTATGTGCCAGAAACAGAAAAATTATCCAAAGGAATAAAAAAATATTATCAAACTAGAACAGGTTTTATTCTGATCCTCAACATGGCTAGACACAAGCTTGAATCATTTACCATATAGTCTAGATCTGGGAAACTATGAAATACATGAGTCAAAAATTAACAAGGAAGGTAAAGGAAAATCTGGCACCAAAACTTAAGACTGAAATAATTTAGTAAGAGAAGCCACTGAGATATGTTCAGATAGGTGATAAACTTTCAGTGACTTAGAACGATCTTTTTATAATTCCAACTCAAAATAATTTTAATTATAAATGCCTTACTCCCTTCTAAGTTTACATATGTAAATAAAAAGGTTATTATAATACTCTGAACCAAAAAAACTATTTTAGTATATATAAATTCATATTTTGAAGTACTGCCCCACTGCCCTACCCCTTTCAGTGTTTGTATCAGCCCGTCTAAAGAAGGATCATCATTGTTGTCTCTCCTGTTCCATAATTCAATCCAGACTTCCCTTGGATTCCTCATAATGTTTGTGCATCCATTATTAGCCCTTCTATCCCTTCTCCAATTACTTACCACTGCTTCCTCCAGCTTGACCTATAAACAGGTTTGATCTACCCTAAATAACTCTGCTTTACTCCATGTTTCTACAGATTCCTTCCCCATCTCACTCCTTCATTTAACTAATAACCATCTCAAACAGTTCCTAGATTTTTGCATTAGGTCTGTAAGAGTTGAAAAGTAATATTGGAAGCCCAACAGAGGGTTATCTGTTTTGTTGAGTAAGGCCATTAAACATACTCAAAAGACCAATCTGATCCGTAATTTAATTTTTATCTCTTCAAAGGACCAACTTATTTCAGAACATCAATTTATCATAATCATTGTTGAAAATCCAGGCTTATTTAAGTATGTAGAAAAAAAAGAAGCAATTCTCAATTCTATTACATGCAATTTTAAAACTCTGGGAGAAGTGAGAGAAAATGAGAAACAACAGCCCTCTAGCTATTGCTCCAGCTTTTTTAATCACAAAGTAGAAAAGAAAATAATAATGGTGGTAAACCAGGGAATCTGTCTAGGATGCAACATAGGGCATTCCCTATAAATCACACTTTGGCCCCAACACAAAATAGTCAGAGAAAGAAGTTCTGAACTAGCAACAGCCCTCAGAAAGACAACTGTGATCCATTCTGATTCCACTATCCTTGCCAACCACTCACAATTTACTCCTTGCATTTAACAGCCATCCACTGAGCCACCAAATCCAAAAATCTTTCACAACCTCTACCACCCTCAACATCTATGCCCACTTAACAATTTTGATCACTTTTTTTTCCTCAGCATGTCCTTCCCGTGACTAATTTGTTAATATTTTCTCCTGATCTCCTTCCTACTACTACAACTACCCATTCTTGTTTCCAACTCTGCCTCATCTTGCTCTCTAGGTACACTGCATGATTCTGACTTTTGCCCTCCTTCCTCCCTCTGTGTTCCTTGGGTAATCTCATAACTTGCCACAGTTTCAAGCAAAGAAATGCCAGGAAAAGCTGATACCATCTCAAAGTACAATTTAGAAAACCCAGCACATAAACATCTCCAAATTTACTCCTCCTTGTAAATTCTTTACCTGTTAATGATATGACTATCATGCTAAGACACCAGGATTTAACATCTCATTCATGTGACCCACTGTCCTTTGCACTCCATAAGCACCAGCTGCAAAATACTACAGATTCTACCACCAAAATCTCTTTAAAACTGCCCTTATTTTCAATGTACCTGCCAGTACTCCAAGCCAGGATCTTATTTCTCCCTGTATAATTTAATCTCTGACTTAACTTCCTGTCTCCAGAATCTTTGCATCTTTCCCTATTCCCTAACCCCATCCGTAGTATACAATGCTGCAAGACTAATATTTCTGAAGCACACCTCAAATCACCTTCCACCTCTACCATCCTATAGTCCTCTCTCATCCCGTCTGCCTTCCCCCTTTTACTAGGAAAAAAAAAAAATCAAACACGTTTAGAATTCAGAGCCCTTCCTAATTTGGCTATAACTAGTTTTATCTCCCCTCAATAAAGACCTATCTTGAAACTAGACAGGTGTGCATTTCCCAAATGTTCCCCACATTTCCTGGTCCAGTTCCTTTGATCATACCATTGCCCAGAATGCCTGATCCCCCTTTCTTATTTTTGAAAATATACCCAATCTTCAAATGTCTACCCAAATACTATCTTTTCCATGAAGTTCTCCCTGGTTCCCCTAACTAGAAATAACTTCCTTCTCTTATAAAGTGGAAAAATTATTCACAGCTCATATAAAAATCTCTCTCCACTTTACATGATATGTATACACATACACAGCATTCTTTACTTTGCACTTCATCATATTTTCTATAATCTCTGTATCATCACTTCTCCATTCACAATGCCTTGAAAAAAATCCAGTCTTAACTCTTACATTACTTTTCCCTCTCTGCTTTGAGAGTTTTGCAGATTCCTCAGAGCCTCTTCAAGAACCAAGGGAAAGAGAGATTGAGCAATCCAACCAAAGTAGTTTTCCTTCATTTGTCTTCTTGAAGTGATCTCCTTCTCAAAACTCTGCTTGATGTAAAACAACTATACCCCAATTAAAAAAAAAAAAAAAAACCTCTATAGCGCGTGTATGTGGGCACGCGCATGTGTATCTATGAAACATCTCAAGGATCTATCTATAAAACACGTATGATAGGCACTACATCTAGCATTTGACCTAATTATATCACTTAATCCTCCTGATAATCTTATGAGATATGTGAGGTACTACTGTCATTTACACTTTACAGATAAGGTTTAAAGATATTAAATAACTACGTCCAAGGTATAGTAAATGTTGGAAACAGGATTTTAACCTAGGCTGATTCCAAAGCCTGAAATTTTTTTTTAATTTCTATTGGAGTACAGTTGATTCACAGCGTTGTGTTCCAAAGCGTGAACTTTTGTCTACAATGCTAGTTTTATTGCTTCTCTCTATGCCTGAAGACCACTGCTAGCCCAGTTCAGCTATTTCTCTGCATCTGTACAGGCCACACTTTCCTATTTCCATACCTGTGAGCAAACTGCTCCCACAGGGCCCATCTTAGTACCAGCCTCAACCCAGAACAACTGTGAATATCTGTATCTGGCTACCCTTCTATATCCAGCTTAATCAGCAGCTCTTCCTCATAACTCACTTTGCAGGTGCAAATCCTCTCCATCCTCCATCCCTGAATGCTATAACTCACTTTGCAGTTAGAAATCCCCTATATCTCTCCACCCCTGAATGCTCACAACAGATTACGTAATATCATTCTGGTGGTATTTATCCACTTTCTACCCTGTATAATTATTTTCAATGTACCTATCTATTTGACCTAATAGAGTGGTCCTTGAGGGCAGATTCTAGGACTGATTCTGCTTTATCACTCCCAGCATTTAAATTAAAAACTTTCACTATACACCCATTAGAATGGGCAAAAACCAACACATGATGACACCAAATACTGGCAAGGATGTGAGCAACAGGAACTCTCATACACTGCAGTGGGAATGCAAAATGGCCCAGCACTTTGGAAAACAGTCTTACAGTTTCTTACAAAACGAAAGATACTCTTATCATACAATCCAGCAACTGCCCTCCTTGGTATTTATCGAAAGGAGTTAAAAACCATGTCCACACAAAAGGCTGCATACAAATGTTTACAGCAGCTTTATTCATAATTGCCAAAACATGGAAGCAATCAAGATGTCCTTCAGTAGTTTGAAAAGATAAATAAACTATAATATATCCAGACAATGGGATATTATTCAGCACCAAATAATAACAGTAATAATAATAAGCTATAAAACCATGAAAAGACATGGAGGAACCTTAAATGCATATTACTATGAGAAAGAAAACAATTTGATAAGGCTACATACTGTACGATTCCAACTATATGACACTCTGGAAAAGGCAAAAATACGGAGACAGTAAAAAGATCAGTGGTTGCCAGGGATTCGGGGGAAGGAGGGACAAACAGGCAGAACACAGAGGAATTTCTGGGTAGCAAAACTATTCTGTACAATACTATAATGGTGGATACATGCCATTATACATTTATCCAAACCCATAAAATGTACAACACCAAGAGTAAACCCTAATGTAAACTATGGACTTAGGAGATAACGATATGTCAATGTAGGTTCATTGACTGTAACAAATTTACCACTCTAGTGGGGTATGTTGATAGTGAGGGAGGTCTGTGCATGTGTGGCACAAGGGGTATACAGGAACTCTCTGCACATTCCCTTTAATTTTGCTGTGAATCTAAAACTGCTCTAAAAAATAAAGTCTATTTAAAAAACAACAGGAACTTCTCATCTGGTAAGAGCTCAAGAAATGCTTGTTGAATTATTACAAAAGGGAAAAAAAAAATAAACCAATACTGGGGGTGAGGGAATGGACGAAATAGGTAAAGCTGATTAAGAGGTACAAACTGCCTGCTTAAAGTAAGTCATAAGTCATAGGGATGTAATGTACATAGGGAATATAGTCAATAATACTGTAACTGCTTTCTATAGTGATGGATGAGAACCGGTCTTATTGCAGTGATCATT